ACAGTCTTGGTCTCCTTTGCATTTGTCGGCTTACTTCTATTACTACTACTACTACTACGTAGTAGTAGTAGTAGTAATAGAAGTAAGCCGACAAATGCAAAGGAGACCAAGACTGTCACTGTTCCAGGTTCATTCATACTACCATCAGTCAGCCATAACCCAAAAAACTGTGACCAGACACCGGCCGACGCATGTACTCTCACTAACCGATCTCATGAAATATTGGCCGAAATTTCGAAATGCGTATTCCACAAGGAAGGATAACGTAAGTGGAGTTGTGATACCGATTATCTTGCGACATACTGCCGTAAGATTTCAGGCACGCCAGGATACTGGCTTTTAAATACACTTCTTTTCGGCCGCCTGCAATGACTGTACTCGATAAAAAACGACTACTTAAATAGTAGGAATTCCTTCTGTCGATTCTCAATGCCCTTGCAAATTCAGATATATTTTGTGGAGGACACGCATTAAAATATCCCTTTTTGAACTCATTTGGTAGCAGGTCACGTCTTCTTTGAATTTTATACTCGAAGAAAGAGTTTCTCTCGGTTTTAAAAATTTTTTCAATTCCAGAATAATTTTGAACTCAATTTGCTGTTGTCTTTGCGTTTAGGGTTTTCAGCCTACTAGCTGTATACTTCCCGTGTAAGGAAAAACATTCATTCCTCTATGCCATTGAGTAGATAGCATACAGGTATCATAACATTTCGCAACGAACGTAAACGGTGTTGCATGCGTCGCAGGGAGCATTATTAAACAAACAAATATCACGCTATTTGAATGGACATTGCGCGGCCTTAAAAATCTCATAATCAGACATTGTGCCGTAAGATAATCAGAAGCACAATCCCACCTAAGTTATTCTTCCAAATCGAATATGCGTTTCGGAATTTCGGCCAATGCTTCGTGAGACCAGTCACTGGCTGTACGCAGTACATATGGTCAGCTGAAATGGAGATGATTGGACAGCATAATCGCAACGCTTCGGCTCCACTTTCGCCCGTCACAATCGTTCAGTCGATCGGCGCATAACAGGCACTTACTCACATTGGAATAAGTGCACGATGGTATTAGCGGCGTGATAAGGCAAACGAGTCCAGCCCTGCTTACTAACAATGCGACCAACGAAGGGGTAAGAGGATCCAACTTCACCGACCCTGAGCGGGCGTCGGCTGAAACGCAGGACACAGACGGTAGCAGCCGAAAAAAAGTGAAGACGGCTTTTGCATGTTCATCAGAGCTCTTCAAAACGTCAGCACCTTTATAAACCCGTTCCGGTGAGTCCATCTCCTTCTTTAAATCACCAACCCGGATCTCTCAGCTGTGTCAATCTGTCACAGTCAGTATTTGGACGCAGCCCTAACGATCCGTCCGCACTGTGTGCGTGCGCTGATGTCTCACCGGCTCCCTACAGGATTGGAGGTTTACCCAACCAGTCGGATGGGTCATAAGTCCAGCTGACATAATGACCATCCAGCTGATTTGTCGAATTTCAGTTTGACCTCAGACACCCTCCTACGTTCCTTTTTGCCTTGCATAAGTAGCCGAATACGTCAATACACTCTCTTGTGCCCTTGATACTGTATTCTGATATGAGGATTTGGCCAAGGAGACGCGTTGGACGGGTGACCAGTGTGGAGTGCAGCAAGTCCACAATAGTCAGCACCAAAGATTTCAATCACAGGAGGCCTGGGGTCGGAAGACTACTTACATACTTCCAGGCAGATGAGTGGACGCGCTTTGCCTGCCCATAAGGATCCTTGCAACGGCTGCTACTGAACCAGCTTGGACACGAGACTATTCACATAGCTGTAGTCGCACTGCGAAATCTACTGAGTGACACTACGAAAAGTGCTCGGTAACGAGAATGCTCATCGATATAGGAAGCGATTGAAATGGCAAATATCACACTGATGATTACATATCAGCTACGACAACACGACGCAACTGCGAGGGGCTGCAGGGGACAGCCAATAATGGCTACGTCGTGCCTCTCACTAGCGCCTGCACCTACGGTCTAGCGACAACCTGCTATGGCACGCACGTCTGCCCGGCTTCGATTTGTCTCGTTGCAATTCACTGTCTGCACCACGCATTCGGTCGATTCTCTGCCTGCACCACGCGAGGCTTGTCACTACCTTCGTGTGGGCTCGGAGCCAATCAACGCAACTCCTATCGCTGATTGGTAAGACAGGAGGGAACAATCCAGAACAATAGAGTAAACAATCTGTAACGACACTTTTGCAGTGGCGACCTTCGGCGACACAGGGCTCGCCGCTCTCTCGGACGCCGCCTCCACGGCGCCAGACGCATACTCGTCCGGTTTGCCAACTTACCCTTTCACTATTCTGTACAGAATAAAGTGTCCTAACCGAATGGCGTCCTGCTTCTATCAACTTGGGATATGGCCTGAAGTTGTGGCGTACTGAGCATACACCATCACCCCTTGGCCGCTACAGGGCTCAGGAATTCCCTGTCTTACTTCTGACAGGCGTGATGTTGGCAAACAGCGATCTGCGAGCCAGTAGAAAATTACTGGAGGCATAGGGCAGATTATCTGTAACAGGGCTCGGCTGCCTGTCTCTCGCACGGACATCCTGGCCCAATACTGTCAACTTTCGCTGCGTGACACCACCACTCCCACGTATGTAAATCCAGCTAAAATGCACCTTACGTGCACCTATTAGTTCCGCAATAGTCCCGACGCGAATACGGTGGCTAAGAGTCGGTTTGCGCGTTTTAGCTGATACGCGGAAACTCAGTTCCCTCACGCAGCAGCAGTTGCCGTCAAGAAACCACCCCTTACCCTACACTACTTACGGATTTTCCAACGGTATCGAGTCACTGCTATGTGCGCCCTTGCAGTCCTGACCTTGGTAAGTCATAAAATCAACTTAAATGCTTTAAGAAGCGAATTTCGCCCGGGATACTGCATCTTATCAGTCAGATTACACAATTTGAACGTCGACTGGTCGCATTGAAACCAGCACAGACCCACATATTTTCTTAACTAAACTGGCTGTTCAGAACTCATCGGACTACTCAAAAGCCCGCTGTTTAAAGCGGTTAAGTAGTCTTAGGTTAAGCGAATCTGTAGACAGGTGTGCGTCTAAACTCGGTTATGCAAACTTATTTCTTCTGATTTGCCGACGTTTGCCAAACAGTCAAGCAGTCCTTTTGGACCGCTATAACTCGGAACAAGTTACCATAAGTCGTCAGCCTTCACGAGCTGATGTGGTGGGCAGGACATCCCCGTTGCGAGGAGGTTAACTGACAGAGAGAAAGACGAACGCTCTCTTTGGAGTCGAAGGACGCAAACTATAAGATTCGCGCAGATCAAAGACGCTTCGGGGTGATTATGAATGTACTAAGAAGGGAGTGATGTCGCAAAGCCCATCAGTCAATAAAGTGTCCCCCTAAGAAGTGGACGCATGAGTTAGACAGACAGGTCTTGTGCTCATTAAAAATACTGAATAGGTGGTCTGGCCCTAGTTCTTACTTACCGCCACAATGTAGATGATAAATGATAATTTAAATAATAAAATGAGAGGAACTCTTATGATTCACAGAAAACTACACAAAGAAACTCTTAGGTGGACCACATTTCCCCCCCCCCTTGATATAGCTCTCCACGTTCAGGGCCAGCTATTCAAGAAAACAGTACAGTAAAAGGCGTAGGTATGAGTTTAAAAATGTATAAAGTAGTCATCAGTAACATAGGCCAGTGTCGTCAACGATACAACTCTTTCCTGACGGCATCGGCGGTTAGAGGATGGCCCATAATTTCCGTTTGGGTTTTCTTGCGAGAATGCCAGTTGGACAAATTAGCGGGGGACTGATAGTCGTACTGGAAAACATCTTCATTATTCCGACAGATCCGCGCATAAACCTCGCACAAGTCGCGGAACTCCAAGTTGCTTAACTGCAGAAAGAAAATTAAATAAAAATAGCACCCGGCCAAAATGGTTGAACATCATGGGAAGTTAAAAATACTAATTTTATGACAGAATTCAGTTAAAGGAACGCTACGAATACGCACCTGGACGGGTCGTTTCATCGGCTGCACAGCTGCTTCTTTGAACAGTTGGATAACGAGATCTGGTCTATCCGGGGGGAACAGAGTTTCCAGACAACGGACGATTAGCTTTTGCCTGCAGGTACGAACAAAAAACGAGCCGGTCAATGGGATCCTGCTATTAGCAAGTCTGGACCTCAGAAAGGAAGAAGCTATGTGGGGACTAGATTCCAGGGCCAGAAGCTGGTACAGAAACAACATATAAGAGTTGGTTAACTGGTCAATGACGTAAATAGTAAAAATCGGTAGCATCAGTGGCTTGATCTAAATGAAACAAACAGAAAATTATGGTCCAACACTTGCCAGATATTACCCTTTCTGTAATTTTCATACCTATATGGCTTAACTACTTAGGTATCTTAAAACGAACTGAGTGTACTATGCCGCCGAAATCGGGAAAGGGTATCACCATCGCAGGCAGTTGAAAAACTGCATAAGACAGTCGAAATTACACATAAAAGATTCAAAGGCTTAAGCAGATGGGGAATTAACTGATACATTTACAAAAAACAGTGATTGATAACTGCACTGGCTTCACGGCAACCCCTGCAAGGTTTGGAGGCACCAATTGGAAGGACGACTTCCGTACCGCATACGGTTCAACATAAACAATTGTCCTAACCAAAGAGCTGGCTAGCCACTTCTTTTCCTTAACATTACATGAACTGGTGGAGCAGACGATAAAGTGCTGGTAAGTCCTCTGCGGGGTACATATATTCTGAATGGGCCGCGTCTACAGCTGACGACAAACGAGCGCCTTGTGGCGTACTGGAATCAGCTAGTACTGGCCAAAACAACCAGCCTGTACACTACACAAATTCTGGGCAGGTGATCAGTAAAGTCAGCAGGTCGGGTGAATGTTTTTCTTCAGTTATCAGGAGAAGTCTGACAGGTAGCACAAAACATGATGGGACATTACGACTGATGGAGGGAAGCATGATACTTCATTCGAACTACAATCCACGCCCACATTTGGGACATGATGAGACCGACAGCGATGAAATGAGCAGCGCTCAGACGGGATAAAATTGTAACTCAAAGGAATTTTACAGGCATTGCCTGTGTACTATTTCTTCTCTATGAGGAGAACGACCTCAAATGGACATACATTGGTCAGGTGACTACGGGAAAACGACTCGTGCATAAAAACGTGATATGAGTTTTAAATGGTTCTAGAAAACTACCTCCTCGCTCCCGTACAGAAGAAGGTAAAATTACTCAAAAGTGGCGCGGAGATAAAGAGCATGAAGCAGACACAGAAGAGGGGCCTTCTATGCAGATCTTACATCTAACGAACAACTTAAAATAAAGAGGCAGGACACCAGGACTCCATGAATAGAGTAGATATAGTCTCAAATACCTGAAGTGAAATGCGTGACGAACTAGTTTTTCAACGTAGGGAAAAGGCACGGAAATTAGAGGTTGGGCAAGCGGCCTAAGTTGAACCACGCCGGCATCGACTTTTGGCTTTGGGACAAATGCGGAACCAGGAATCTCTTTAAGGAATTTTACCTAAAAGGAAGAAATCGGTGGAGAACATCTTCTATAATGCGAGCTGGTAAAGATGAGTGCTTGAAAGTCTTAGATCACTCCTGTGCATTCCACAGAGATACAACTAGAGGGTTAAATGTTCCTAGTCGTAGGTGAATTTTTAAGCAGAAATCCCAGTGAAACTCAAACAACGCAAGATCACATTACCTCACAAAAGGCTTGGGCCATAATAGAAAGGCGCGAACGCTGTTCACCCCATACATCAGCGACCAGCCGTTCACAAACTTCTCTTTGGAAGGTAAGAGTCATTGGCACTCGTCCTAACCTCCAGATTTGTCGTCTAGTAGCAATATTCTCAAGCCACTTGATAAGAAGGGGAGTTGATATGTTGAAAGGCAGGTTACCGAGGATTCGAATCCGTGGGGGTCTAGTGGTGGGAGAGTCGCTACTTTCTGTGAGGGCTGTCGAGTCTGTTGAGGGGAGTTGGTCCTGTCTATAATTGCCAGTCTCGAGATTTTCAACGCCTGAACCCCACCTATCAGGCCAGTAGATTGCGTCAACCGGAAAGATGTCTTCTGTATTCATTTTAAGTATATCCTGGAAGGAAACACGGGTCATGTAAGTAGTAAAATCCATAAATTAGCGAAAGCAGTCTAGAACTGCAAATGCAAGCAGGTTTACCCCGCGGTAAATGTCCATGCGAACGCCAATTTCGGCCGCAGACACCTGCAATTCCTGCAGAGCTGGAAGAAATCGTCTGTCGAGCTCGACGACCACTAGATGACGTGGTCGCTGGCGGAGAATAGCTCGGGTAAGACTACCTGGGCCAGGACCAACCTCCAGGACGCAGGCATCCTGTAGACTTCCCGCACATTTCACAAGACTGTTGATTGAGGAGGGCTGGAGAAGGAAATTTTGAGACAGATGCTTCTCTGCCCTTAGCCCATAAATCCGAATAATCTCGCGTAGAGAGGGCAAAGCCGGCAGCCGCAGAGAAGGCAGTGCCTGGTGGTTTTATGTAAAGGGGAAGAAATTTTATAGATATTTTGTCACAAAGAAAGCTAAAAATTTATGACTGAGAGCATAAATGTTAAAAGACAGGAAGGGTGGCGTATACAGACGACAACTATGATTCACAGCAAGATAGGTTCCCACTCGGCTGAGAAATACGAAACAGCACTCGAGGTAGCGGGTGAGAAAAGCAAATTCTGCTAAAACATAAGCGCCAGGTGACCCTCTTTGGTGGGTTTCCCTTATGTCCATGTCGTTGAAGACGAAGTTTACGAAAGTGGCAAGACATGAATTAAAAGAAGTGCTTAAAGTGATAAGTAGAACGCAAGCAAAGAGCCAGGAGTATCCGGATATGGAATGGGTATGAACGCTGCCGAAAGCAATTAGTTAGGTTATGTCGGTATGTTGGGGTGCATAATCTAAATAGCTATACTAATTACAGTGACGGATTCTCTATATTTTAACCAGAGAACTCATATTTCGGCAAGATAGTCTCTTCAGCAGAATCCACAATCTCCTTTCGGCATAAGATACTTTTGTGAATGTAGTCTTCAGCGAAAATGCCCAACTTCGGTAGAGATGAGCATGCTCATCCCAGTCCAACTGGTAAGAACTGCCGGACGTAGAGTGAAAGGTGTGGAAGGTAACGAGATGGCAGTGCTGCTAGGAAGTCTATCAATTCTGGCTAATTTTTGATCAGGCTACAAAGCCGGGTGCGAGGGGTATTTTCATACTGGAAAGACACTGTAGAAAAGGCAGGCATCCGAATGTAACGTATTGTTGTGGAAATCTGGTATAAGATGCATGCTTATTTGCAGCAGGACGATTCTGCAATGGTAGGCCAAACGCGTACAGTTAGTTATGGTGCTGACGATCGGACATTCGTGAAGAGAACGAGTTTCATCGCACAGGTCGGTCGTGTGTGAGCGAGATGTAAGCAAGGCATAAAAATACTAACGAGACCTTACTACGAAAATAGCGAAAAAGTAGTGACAATAGCGAGCTTGCAGAGTGTGAAAAGCACACAGAGTAAGAGGCCTAGATATGTTTTTCCGGCACACGTCCAGAGAGAAAATGACGAGGAGCACATCTGGACGGGTATACTTTGGGCCATCGACCGACCTTTGGCTTGTATGCATGCCATGGGTCGGCCGATGTATATATGAGCCGGCCCATATATACCTAGGCCGACTTATACACAAGCCATGAAGTAATAAGCAAAATTGCCTATCGACTAATACAAGATCCATACTAAGCTCCTGAAATTTACTATGGCCGCAAGTAACGCGGGCAACCAACGCTTATGTGGGACTGAAGTTTTAGCCCGCAGGCCGCCGAGTAAATATATAAATCCGAGACAATCTTAATGGTTGACACGAAAACAAAGTCGAATTAGGCGCCAACTGCCGAACAAATCAAAAGCGCACAGTAGTCGTAATAATTCTTTTCGTAATACTTTCAAATGTCACATCCGTTTGAGTACTCCTTTTGCATCTGTCTATATTACCAGAACCCAATATCTAGACACGAAAAGCGAGCCTGTAATCCATCATAGATGTCGCTGAACGCGATTATACTAATCGAAACACGGTTTTGTGGAAACAAAAACTGCTCTGAAGAAAAGCTGTTTGGATACCTAATCTTTAAGAAGTCCAGGGATTTACTTGTTATCCGAATCCAGACCTACTCGTACTAGAAAATGCTTCCAACTTGCCTGTAACATGAGGCAATCCGCTGACTATTAGACTAGGTTTATAATAGCATCTATTCGGCACTGTCCGTCCCCTTTGAACAGAGGTTGTCACGATTTAGTCGATCTATACTGGTTGCCGACAACGAAGAAATCGATGAACGGCCATACATAGAGCTGTCTGAACCATTCGTTAGTAATCCTGATGCTATGATCATAGGTCAGCTTGATGCGTCAGAATAATACAGGACGGCCCGCATGGGGTATTTGAAGTTGATTGTTGACTTTGCTTTTCACGAGTAAAAGTGAAGGCTCTCAATGCGCAGAATCTTGTGCTTTAGGCTTAAGTACGCCGATAGGGAAGGTGCAAAGAGCAACTATAGTTTTAACATAAGTATCGGTCTGTAACAAAGCATCGTTTCAGTGCCCAGGAGTTTGTTGTGGACAGTCATAATGGCAACGTCGCGACTCTTGCTAGCGCCTGCACCTATGCCACAGCGACAGCTTGCTATGGCACGCACGTCTGCCCGGCTTCGATTTGTCTCGCTGCAATTAATTGTCTGCACCTCGCGTCTGGTCGATTCACTGCCTGGACCATGTGAGGCTTCTCGCTACCCTCGCGTGGGCTCGGAGCTAATCAAAGCAACTCCTCTCGCTGATTGGCAGCAAGGACGGACACAGTCTAGACCAATGCGTAAACAATCGTCCACGACATTTACACTTTTGCAGCTGCGACTTTCGGCGACACACGGCTGGCCGCTCTAGCGGACGGCGCTTCCGCGGCTCCAGGCGCACCCTCGTCCGGTTGTCAGCTTCCCTTCATTATTGTGTACAGACTAAATAAGTAATCTTCTACCCAACTGGCGTCCCGCTTCTTGCAACTTGGAATATGATCTGAAGTTGTGGCGCTCTGAGCATACACCATCACCGCATAGCCGCTACAAAGTCACGTTGCCACCAGGCTAGACTCGTCCTTATATTTTACTCTCCAGCAACAGGGACGACTTATCTGATCAGGTTTATTCAGTCAGATAAGTGAGGACGGCTAAGGGAAAAAGGAAACTGGGTGGCCTTGTCAGGACACCCTTCTCAACCCTAGCATTGAATGACCTGAAATTCGATTCCGTTTTCTGTCAATTGTGCGTTAAGTAGTTCAAAGCTTCACTATCGAGCTACGGGTCCCTTAGTCTGGCGGCTTTCATCGGGAATATTAGGTGTGGCGGAAGGATTTTCGCCGACCAGATTGGGAGATAAGTTCGTTCCAGTGTGCCCCTGGACTCGATCTATAGCTCTTGAAGGCAGTCTTATGGCGACCAGTAATATGTGCATGGCGAAGTACCGATAAAGACGTAGAGGACTAAGAGACTGCCTGTTGCCTGTCTCCGACCGGTAAAACCCTTTCCTATGCTAGTTACCTTCCCGATCGCAATCGACATGAACATAGGCCCGTGACTAAGTGAGTGTTCGTAGTTACAGCGGAGTCCGCGCTCCACTCTCAGGTTTTTCAAACTGACAACTTTCACTGCTCTTCTGTCTCATACTTACCAAAGTCGCTTGCAAATGGTGCATGCTATATGTAAAAAAGTGTCCGTTGTTCATTAGTAAAAAATAAGGTCGTGATTTTTAAAAATACTTTGCATTGGTGAGCCTAGCGGCTATTTTTCAAATGTACCCATTAGATGTGGTTGTATTTGAGAGAAATAACTCTAAAAGGGCTTTAACGGGACTATACTTTGAATAACAGACCTAGACTCCGATGCAGATTGATGTGGATTTGGACTGTAAAATAATCTTTCCTTACGCTGATGTTTGGAGGTCACCTGATAGGTTCCTCTGTATTTTGGTGACATTTTGGACAGTGCTATTTCGACTATTGTTATTATATTTCGGGTTTTCGGGGAGTGTTCAAAACGAAACAAGGACTACTAAATGGGAGCACGTCGCGATATACAATTTTCCACTATGTTATAAGCGTGTTTATGGCAGCACTAAATCATGGAGTAACCCCAAGATTCTTTGTGCTAGTCCTATGAAAGTCTCAAGTTCACATGTATTTCAAATATACGAAGAAGTTTATCTTGGAGTATAGTCCCGGGTGTACTTACAGTTTATTTTTGGGCCTTTTATCCAGTTGTGCGAAAGACAGTAATGATAATAAATGCCTGTCCATAGGTATTATGAAATCACGAAAAGCGTGGATCTCAAGATCAGACTTAGCTCCTGACAGGGCAGCTCAGAGTTAGTTGGCTCCATATAACTTGAATACACTGGATGGTAAGGGTCTTTCAGACGGAAAAACATCCAGCAAGCGACGGTAGCATGGAACAGCAATCGTCGGTCATTAGGAAGGCGGGGTGCCGTAGGCCCCATTCATTTGCATAGGAATATGCTCTGAATCGCCGCCGACCATATAATAACATGCCTAGGTAAGAGACAGCCATCATCAACATTCCCCTTGTTGATAAGACCAGACAGAGTCTGAGGACTGCGAATTTCACTACTGCGGCAAACGAATTCTGTGTATCTGACACCTGAAAACTGCGAACTATGTGCTGAATGCCAAAAGCGAGTGCGAAATGTTTTAAACAAATAAGTAACATAAAGCTTTTACATTCCTGCGTAACCTGTTCAAAATGAAAATTGAGTTACTATAAAAAACTTTAGATATTTAACGGTACGTGGTAGAGGAAGAAAAATACCTTGCGGATTTTTTGTGAAGAGGAGGTCAATACAATATAAATTAGTCGGTGGTCTGAAAGTACGATGATTTCATAGTTTAAACAGCAAAAAGTCCTTTTGTAATCGGGATAGTAATAGGCGAAAGAGTCCGGAGGTTCTACAATTTTCTTGGTAAGTCGGGTTTTGGTATGGCAGGGTTAAAATTCTTTTGTAGGAAAAAACTGAATGAATTCTGTTTTTCCGCTCACCAGTGAGTTGAGGATTAAACAGAACCGGACAGTATATTACTCCTTGTCTAAAATACACTAGGTAAAAATAAGTCCTAATGTCGACGATTTTAGAATGTCGAAGGACAAGTTCGGACGTCCCGCCAGTTTTAGAGACATTCGGTGAGAACTGCTACGAAAGATTAACTTTCATAAAATACTAAATGACCACATTCCGGGAAGCCACATGGAGAAGGATCCAAGGAGCACATGTAGCGGCACAGCAGTCAGAATGAGTGTAGTCTGTGAGCTACAATTAGCAAGTCAAATCCCAGATTGGACGGAGAAGACAGGAGGCACCAGAATGAGGGGTTTATTGTGCATAGAAACCAGAGTTGTCCTCTCAGGCGGCAGTGGCTACTGGCGAAGCCAGGGCTGGTGTTGATTGCGTCCAGTCATGCCTGATAGTCTTTGAGATAGTGGTGGCAGCCGGTTTGTAGGCTCGTAGACCAAGCTCAAGTGGTGGCCAGTCAGTATGTGTTGCATTTGCCGAGGGGTGGAATCCCAGTGGCTTAGGTTGTGCTTGCAGGGGGTGGGGTGAGTTCAAGTGGTCGCATAGGCAGCTGAGGCAGTGCGGACGCAGGTATGCCCGAGCTGTCGGTCGTGTGACTTCAGGTCAGCGCGTCTGGAACGGCTCACTGCAAAAGGATTGATGGCCTTGAGGCAGCGAGGTCTTAAACAATGACGCCAGACCGATTATGATGACTGCCCAATACAGCTCCCCGCCAGAAAGAGAACGAAGTGGTAGTGTCGATCTTGAGGCAGACGATGAAACGTGTGAAATACGTCAACGACTGCGCGAACGAACTGGATTGCGATATCGCAATGTTTGCCGATGACATAAAGATCTGGAGTACCATACGAAGCGAAGTTGACGAGGCTCGACTGCGGACAAATCTGGACCACCTCGAGCAATGGTCGAAAGACTGACTTCTACCATTCAACGTAAACAAGTGTAACTTCCTACGCGTCGGCAGAACCAGTTCTCCTAACCTCACGGTCTACCGTCTGACTGGCAAACCACTACAAGAAGTCGACGCCCAGAAGGACTTGGGTGTATGGATCCCAACCTCGCTTAAGCGTTCGCTGCAATGTTCAAAGGTAGACAAGTCGGCGATATCCATTCTACACCTCTTCAAACGGGCGTTCTCCTCCTTTTATGAAGACTGCTTCGCCAAGGTCTTTCAAACTTTCGTGCGACCGCATCTGCAGTTTGCTATCCAAGCATGGAGACCCTGGACCGCTAAAGACTTGGGCAAATTCGAAAAGGATCAACGGCGAGCAACGAAACTTGTATCTGGGCAGTGGTCACTACCCTATGGAACACGATTAGCTAATCTTGACCTCTTTCCTTTGAGTTACAGACAGCTACGTGGGGACCTGATACAAGCTTTCCGCATCGTGCGCAATCAGGGCTGCTGCCTCGCATCTGGAAACTTCTTCGAGTTGGCGACTACGATTAACCTGAGAGGCCATCCACTCAAACTGCGTGTGACTGGTGTCCGGTTAGACACACGAACCTTCTTCTTCTCCACCAGAGTGGTTGCAGCTTGGATGCCTTGCCTGAGGATGTTGTTATGTCGGGATCCGTAGATACTTTTAAACGGAGGCTAGATCAACATTGGAAAGCGCACCACAATAACGCCGGACTACGGCCACCTTGATAACCAATGTTTACAATTTAGTGTTATAGCGATTCTACTACCAACATTTAAGTAATATATGTTTATTAATTTTGGACCACGTCGCACACCACTGCTCGCATTCACCACGATGCCTGTAGACTAAAAACTTTTACTTCTTTTCCTGTATCTTAGGTGTGCTTCAACTATCTGCTGGAGTTAATCAACAAACCGAGTTCTTGTGTCTCTAAATGCTGTTAACGCATGACATACTGTGTTCATCTGTACAGTTTTTGTTATTTCCTTTGTATTTCTTTCATGTTACTTCCTTTCCATTTTCTCCATATACTTCCTCTGCATGTAACCAATAGGGATTTCAAAGGTACACACCTACTCCCTGAAATACACTGATACTGATACTAATACTGACACCCGGTGCACATGGGGGTTTGAGAGCGTGTGTCAATGATGACAGTAATAGCTCGGATCGCGTACGATTGTGATGCTGCGACCTGTAAATTGGCGCAGTTGAGGCATCAACCATGGGTGTGATGGCGTGGTCTCGTCAACGTGTGCCGGTGAGTTGGCACTTTGGTATGACAGGTAAGAATGTTTCGGACACAGGGGCATCCCAGTAAGTGCTGAGTCGGACAAATGTGTCAGTGAAATAAGCTCACTGTCATCCAGACACAAAAATTTGGATAGGATGCAGTGTGGAAAGTGTGAAAATTAATCGCTGTATATACAGTGGCAAGTTGAGTGTAGGAAAGTAACTCACGAATGATGGTTTCGTCGGTAATGGGCGGAAGAACGCCTCGGACAGAAGTGAGGCGTTCAGAAAATAATAATAATTGTATTTAATGCCGGATTACGTACATCGCCAGGGAAGCGTTAAAAACAAATCCGGCCAGCGGAGAAAAAAGTTAATGGTGGTTTCTTATAGTTTAATGGGGTTCATGAGAGAAAAATTGCTGACCATGAAATGCCGACAGTTAAGGAAGGGAGGGGTAGCACTGTATCGGATATTATCAGTCGTCGATTCTTTTCATGAAGTTGGGGCTGGTACGAATAGAAGCACCGAAGAACAGCTATCGCTGATGGCTAAAGAAATTGTAGAATGGTGTTACCGACAAAGACAAGGGAGACTGGAATGACCATTTCTGGTTTATTAGCCGTCGTCAGCCTGTCATACCCAACCCTGAAGAGTGGAACACCCGAGGCTCGAAATCGCGACCTGTTAGATAGAAGTCCACGCCTCTAACCACTGGGCCACGAGCCCGTTGTCCTGTCGGTTTCGATCAGAATATGCAATGGTAGGGTGCGCTCACCGATCGTCCTTATGGAAATCACTCGTTCCATTGTGCCTTACGGACTCTCTCGCGAGCCCAACCGGCACCCGCACAACGGCGCATGAGTTCCGTAAGAACGATCGGTGAGCGCCTCTACCATTCAAGAAATTTTCCCTGATGAGACCGGCCATAGGGATCAGAGACCACAAACGCCGTCGCTACGGTAAAGTCGATCAGTGGATTCAGTACCCCAAATTTGTGAGAGTTTTCTGAATGCAAAAATCGAGTAAAAGTTCTCATAAATAAAGGATAATTTTGCTGATTTTTCAAACTCATGGGTGGTTTAATCCAAGTAGCAATCGCGTTGGGATAAAAGAACCGACGATATTTAACAGTACGTCTCACAGGAAGAAATAAAATGACCCCACGGTGACTGTTACGTCGGGGATGGAGAAGATGTCTTGAAGCAGCAGGTGAGTTAAAGGAACGATCATATTAAAGCTTAACTAGTAAAAACAGTCCCTTTTGTAATCTAGGGAACCATAAAGGATCGAGGCCTGTAAGCCGGCAACGTTCTTGGTAAGACAAATATCGGTGTTCCGGGGTTAAAACTCTCTTGGTAAAAAGTGTTGAACGGATTCTATCTCCTTCCGATCAGCAACACGCATAAGGCTTAATAAAAACGAACAGTATTCCAGGTCAGTTCTAACGTACATGTTGTAAACGCGCATTCTAATGTCGCCAGTTTTAAAGTTTCGGAGGATAAAGCCCGGCCGTTCTACGTGCTCTGGAAAGCATCAGGGCGCAGTGCTCCGAAGGATTGAGACTCAGATCATAAATAACCCCAGGCACATGTATGGCGTGACCATCAATGCTTAATGGAGGTTGGCCGTCGTCGCCAACCACCATGACTGAGCACTTATGCCAAGAAAGAAAAAGGCGCCATGTGCGGCATCACTGGGCGAAAACCTGTAGATCGCTCTTAAGGAGCTCAAGCACGATGTCCCGATCTGCCGACTTATATCGATATGCAACTTTAAGATCATCGGCATGCATGAAAGGCTTACCATTCTGAAATAAATCGGGCACATCATTAACGAAAAGGCAAAATAAAAGCGGGCCGAGTACACTAACCTGAATGACTCCACTCCTCACACATGTGGGAGATAGCATTAGAAATCTTAACTCGTTGTTTACGAGAGCCCGGGTAAGAGGAAATAAAATGCAAAAGTTTGCCACTTATTCCGAAAGAGGACAGTTGCAAGAGAAGAAGAGCGTGATCGACACGATCAAAAGCCTTAGTGAAATCGAAATATACTATGTAAAGTGCAAATCCATTGTCACTAGATTGGAACATATGATCAAAGCAAGAGAGCTGACAGATGTCACAAGACCGAGCTTAGAGGAATCCATGCGGTGTAGCGCTCAGTAGGTTATTCTCTGCTAAGTGACGCACCATCTTATCTTTGATCAATGTCTCTAAGATGTTCGAAACTGCGGGGAGTGTGTTTATTGGCCGAAAGTCATCAAATAACGTAGTTTGACTGTGCTTGGGTATGGGCAAAATGTGTGATTCTGTAGCAAGCAAGCAGGCAGAACACCGTTCCAAATCAGAAGATCTTGTCGGAGGCGGGAGAGTGTTTATTAGAGAACGAAAAGAGCGGGAGAGAGAAGTGGAACCGAGACACAAGGGTGCTCAAGAGGAAGAAAAAGTGAAACGCAAGCAGGCAGACAGAAGATCCAACCGCACACTCCACGGGGGAAACCGGAGTGTCGTCCTTGTCCAATCAGGCATCCTCTTCAGTGACCTCGCCCGGAATTGGTTCTCCGGTTTCTACAATGAGTTAAGATCAAGCAGAGAAATATGACTATAATAAGGCGATGGTCATGGCGAGTTTTCCATCACACTGCCCCCTCCTGTAGGACCGATTTCCCATCGGTACGAGGATCAGGGACAAGGCCGTCGAGCGGGATGCCGAAACCACCTTCGGGAGGGACTTCCACAGTACGAGAAACCAACCAGGCCAGAGGACTGAGGAGAGGAAGGGACGTAGGGACCGCCGGAGCGGAAGGAGAAGAGGGGACGGGAACGATTGAAGAGGGATCCGTGGGAGGGTGCGGCAGCTCCGCAGAGGGGAATGAAGGTAACTCCGAAGAGACAGGGCCGCAAGAGTTATTATCTTATGGATATGGCTAGAGCTTGTTGAAGTGGGCCGCGAAGGTGGGACCCTCTGAATCATCAGAGGCCCTGAGGATACAATAGGCTTCTGAAGGGACTTCCACAACAACGAAAGGCCCTATCCAATGAGTGGAAAACTTGTCGGCTGACCCAGGTGGCAACCTGTCCTGACACCAGAATAATTTATCGCCAGGTTGGTAAGGTGCACCGTGTGCACGACGATCATAGTACTCTTTTTGTCTCTGACGGGCCGTGGAGAGATAGGTGCGAACAAGCTCGTGTGTACGGTATAGGTGAGCTCTAAGATTTCGCACAAACTCGTGGGGAGGCTCGGGGGACGGAAGAAGGAGGGGAAAGGAAGGGTCCAGTGGAAGACTGACTTCGCGGCCGTACATAAGAGCAAACGGCGTATGACCCGTTGATAAGTGCGTGGCGGAACGGTAGGCAAGAAGGCAGTGGGGGAGAGCAACATCCCAAGAGGAAGCAGGGCAACCGTTAACGAAAGACTGGATCAGACCTCTGAGAGTCCGATTCGTGCGTTTTACTTGCCCACTGCCTTGAGGGTGCCACGGGGTAGAACGAGATTTATGAATATGAAGAAGTTCGCAGAGTTCGCCCATCAGCCGGGACTCCAACTGAGCACCTTGGTCTGAATGGAGCCGCTCAGGCACCCCATGGCGGCAGATCCACTCGCTAAGGATGGCCTTAGCGACAGTGATGGCGTCGGCTTGTGGAAGGGGTACCGCTTCACACCACTTAGTGAAAAAGTCCACTAAAACTAAGATATAACGATTTCCACGGGGGAAGGAGGCATGGGACCCATCAAATCGACACCGACAATTTCATTCGGGTAACCCGCCTGAATGGGCTGCGGTGGTGCGCGTTGTGTAGGGTTGGGATTTTTGACTTCAGCTCATACAGGGCACGTGCTACAAATGTCCTGAATGATCCGTCGTTGGTTCGGGCACCAGAAAGTCTGACGCGCGGCGGTATCGGTACGAGCTTGACCAGCATGTCCCAGATCAGCATGAAGACGGGAAAGTGTGGGACGGATCGCATTATGTGGCAAAACCAAACGAGAGGTGTCAGTGGGAGAATATTGAAGAAAGAGCACGCCGTCACAGAGGCGAAGGCTGTTCCACGCTGACCAATGGCAACGAGCTTACCAGCTGGAGCCCTTTATTTCTTCGCTTGACGGTTTTGGCGCACCCTGAAGTAACCGATCCTAGATAAGAGATATAGAGGGGTCCGAAGCCTGAGCCGACGCCCACTCTGAGTGGTCGGGAGTGCCAAACGTAATCGCAGTTGCTGGGGCGTATGCGGCGGCCGGTGGTGGCGTCTGTGCTCGGCGAGATAAGGCATCGGTATTCTGATGCTTTTTACCGGCCCCATGGATGGCAGTGTAAGAATATTCTAAGAGGTCTGCCTGCCAGCGAGCGAGTTGATCGGTCGGATCCTTGAAGTTTTCCAACCAGCGCAGCGCCTGGTGGTCGGTGCGTAAAATGAACCGTTTGCCAGCGAGATAGTGATGGAATTTCTTGACAAAGGTGACGACGGCTAGAAGCTCCTTGCGAGTGGTAGAGTAGTTACGCTCAGGCTTGGTGAGCGTCTGACTGGCAAAAATGCGGGGATGTTCCAGTCCATTGAGTTGCTGTTGAGACAAGACTGCCCCAAATGGCTACATCTGATGCATCAGTGTCCAAGATGAAAGGTGGGGCTGACTCGGATATGTTGGGGAAGGCCAAAAGGGGAGGGGAGATCAACCGCCGTTTGAGTTCCATAAAGGAACGCTCACACTCGTTGGACCAGTTACAAACGTTCTGCTTTCCAGTGAGACGATTAAGGGGTGCAGCTATGTGTGCAAAATCTTTAATGAACCGGTGATTATAGGAGGCAAGACTGAGAAAACCGCGCAACTGCGAAACTGACGTTGATTGAGGCCAAATGCGTATTGGCTCAGTCTTCGCAGGATCCGTCTTTACCCCTTCAGTTGAGACGATGTGACCCAAGAAAGGAACAGACTTTTTGAGAAAACGGCATTTAGCCGGGTTCAGTTTAAGGCCTACGGCCTGTAGACGGTTAAAAACGGTTTGCAGGTTATCAAGGTGGGACTCGACAGTAGACTCGTGTACGATGACATCGTCCAGGTAGACCAAGCACGCGGTAGGGCGTAAATCCCTTAAGACCGAGGCCATCAAACGTTGAAAGGTGTCAGGCGCGTTTTCCAAGCCAAATGGCATAGTTTCAAACTCATACAACCCAGAGGGAATGGAAAATGCAGTCTTGGGCCTGTCCTCGGGGGCCATTTCCAACTGCCAGTAGCCGGACTGCAAATCGAGTGTGGAGAAACATGGAGCTCCTGCGAGTGCCTCTAGGGTGGTGTCAATGCGTGGAAGTGGGAAGGAATCTTTGACGGTTACGGCATTTAACCTCCGGTAATCAACACATAATCGCAAAGATCCGTCTTTCTTTTTAACGAGGACGATTGGAGAGGCCCAAGGTGAGGGCGAGGGGCGAATGACGTGCTTGTCCAGCATGTCTTTGATGGTTTGCTCTAACTGTTTCTGGAAATGTACGGGTACGAGGCGGGGGGGGGGTTGACTGATTGGTCGAGCCGAACCCGTATCGATAGTATGCTGCAATACATTCGTTCTACCAAGGGGTTCACCATCCCATGCGAACGCAGCGGAGTTTTGGAATATAAGGTTTCGAACAGCGGTGATCTGTTCAGAGGAGAACCCGGGAGAGTCGGGAACCAAATGTACCAGGTCGGAGGGCTGGGGAGGGTGGAGCTCGACTGGGTCGCAAAACGGCTGGCGGTCAGGGGCATGGGGGAAACAAAAGGGGATCGTAGTCGACTTAGAGGTGAGTTGACCGGCCGCAAAATCGATGGAGAAACGGTGAGCATATAGCAAATCTGCGCCTAAAATACCCTGCCAGTGAGTATCCGGACAGATGTAAAAGGGATGGGTAAACTCAAATGAGCCCAGGCGAAATGGCACGTCGACTAGTGACGAGCAGGAAAGTGGCATACCGTTCGCCGCTACAATACGGGGGTGTCTATGGGAAATCTCGATTTGTTGTAGCCAGGTGCGGGTGAAACCCTGGGGGTTTAACAAAAAGCAGGCAGCCCCTGTGTCAACAAGAAACGCTACTCGCCTGTCTACAACCGTTGCGTTAACAATGGTAGCAGGAAAATCAGAGCTAGACGTAACGGCAGGAACGCGGTAGGACTAACTGGAGATTTGTGCGACGCGAGCCTGGCGACCTCGGAATGGACGCGTGATTTTCCGGAATGTCTAGGTCGCCACTGACCGAGTCTGCCGTTGCCGGGCGACTGAGGTGGCGTGGCGGCCGAGGGATCGTAGCGTTCCTCATACTCCTGCACCAGGGTTAAGAGGGCCTCCAACGATAAGTTGGGCTATTTAATCAATTTGCGGCGGAGGTTATCGTCCAATAAACCAGCGCGGAAGTGGGCGGCGAGAACAACATCAGTCAGGCTCGTTGGCTGGTCAGGAAAGGCCGCCAATATCGAAGGGCAAAGACAGCCCAAATAATCTCTGGCACTCTCCCCAGGGAGCTGAAGACGGGACGAGAACTGCCTGTACGCGTCGACTGGGGGCTTGGGCGTTGCAAAAACGCGCCCAAGGGCGCTCAACAGCGAATCCACGTCGGTGTCGAACTTGACACCGAAAGCAGAGGCCTTTGTTAGCGCCTCCGTCGAGAGGTGGTGGTATATGTACTGCGCACGGTCTTTGGCTGCAACGGAGGCTAAATGAACGTTTGCTTGCGGGTACCAAACGTCGAAATTGTCCCCCGGTTTCAACAGAGGCAGTGTGTCCGTGGAGGATTGACTTGTCTCCAGGACGGACATAAGAGCTTGGCAAAGATCCCTTAAGTCCACGCTGGCGGGCACTTCGGCTGATTTCGCGGTAGCCTGGTCGTGGGACATGGAGAAGGAACCGCTGCCACCAGTTTTATAGCAAGCAAGCGGGCAGAACACCGTTCCAAATCAGAAGACCTCGTCGAAGGCTGGAGAGTGTTTATTAGAGAACGAAAAGAGCGGGAGAGAGAAGTGGAACCGAGACACAAGGGTGCTCAAGAGGAAGAAAAAGTGAAACGCAAGCAGGCAGACAGAAGATCCAACCGCACACGCCACGGGAGAAACCGGAGTGTCGTCCTTGTCCAATCAGGCATCCTCTTCAGTGACCTCACCCGGAATCGGTTCTTCGATTTCTACAATGAGTTATTATCAAGCAGAGAAATATGACTATAATAAGGCGATGGTCATGGCGAGTTTTCCATCACAATTCCTTCCACGAAGTAGGATAGGTTTCACTTTCAAGAGCGAGATTAAATATCTTGCATAAGAGGAATGGGATAATTGCATTCGCATCCGCATTTAGAATGCTTAATGGGACACCATCAGGTCCAGGGCTACGAGATTGACGAAAACGTCGAATCGCAGCAGTCACATCCCACAGAGTGAAAGTTATAGTTTCGAGAACTGCCCCGGTCAATGCCTGGATGGTCGGAAGCGGAGCAGTCGAGTTTTTAATAAACGTTTTGTGTAGGAAAGCATTGAGGCTATCACCGGTTAATTGGGCATCAGCTATAGGATTCTCGAGGGCGTCTCGTAGAGTGGGATGCTGCGTCTTTCTGTGCGTTCGTACTTTTCGGGAGAAAAGATTCGGTAATTTATCGAACGGTTTTCAGGGACTTGGACCTCTTTGGATAGCTGTTTTTCATCAGACAATCTCTTGTAGTGGGCTGACATCATAAGCGGTCTGGCGTCATTGTTCATGAACTCGCTGTCTCAAGGTCATTCACCCTTGCAGCGAGCCGCCCCAGACGAGCTGACATGAAGTCACACGACCAACAACTCGGGCATACCTGCGTCCGCGCAGTCGCAGCTGCCCATGCAGCCACTTGAACGCGCCGCCTCCTTCAACCAGCAAAACCAGCCACTGGAACACCACCCCTCGTCAAATGCAACACGAACGCTGACTGGCCACCATTTCAGCTTGGCCTACAAGCCTACAAAAGCGGCTGCCACCATTGTCCCAGGGACTCTCAGGCCTGACTGGACACAGTCAACACCAGCCCTGGCCACTGTCGCCTGAGAGGACAACTCAGGGTTCTGTGCACAATAAACCGCTCATTTAGGTGCCTTCAGTCTTCTCCTTCCAATCAGGGATTAGCCCTGATTATGGTGGCGCTCAACTGCACTCACTCACACTGTTGTACCACCACAACACTATTAGCCCGCTCAAGAATATCGCAAATCAAGGTCAGGACGGAAACTTCCTTCTGAAGATGGAATCGACGAGAAAGTCTGTGCAACCTGCCACAAAAGGGTAAGGGTAGGATAACCTCATCACCGACAGTCTGAGTCCACATCCCAATATCCGCAGCCTCATGAATGTCTTCGAACCTTCTGAGGCCGGAAGGCGGAGACCAGCGGACTTCAGGGAGATTGAAGTCACCCGCAGCCGACTGATGCTTAAAGGTTAAGTCGGCCGCAGCAAGTGAGAGTAAACGATCAAAATTCTCTTTGGCTTTGGGGGGGGGGCGATTTACACAGCCCACAAGTAAGGAGTACAACCTGGAGCCAGCAGCTGGCGTGCATGAGTCCGCCAGTAACAGCGCAAAATGTTCTACGTTAATTTGTTCTGGTCACCTTGCATCTCTAATTACTTCCCTCCCGATCGATCCTGGATCTGAAATTGGGTCATCGCACGGCCTATCCGTAACCGAAATGAAAATGAACAAACAACCAGGAGTTTTTACCACTAAATCAGCGCTCGCCGTTTAATAAGAAACACCATCCAACTGGATTTCGAGTGCACATCCTTACGAATATTTTTTAGCCAAATATCTAATTTTATCTAAATTATTGCCCGATTTCTGTGGACATTGTTCTCAGGGTGGTTAACGAGTGAGTCATTAACACTACGAATACTGTCGTTGAGTCATCGGGATGGATGGTCAAACCATTGACTGAAGCGGTTCGGCCACGGCAAGCGTACGTTACATCGTCCAGCCATCTCCTAAATGATCGAACGATAGAAGTGTTAGTCTTTTCGATTGGAAAGTCTATCACGTGTTAGAAATGTATAAGAACGGCCGCACGCTTCATTACACATACACTCACTATTACGGAGACTTTCGTCCAAGATCAGTGACACATTTGTGAGGTCGTAGGTAGAGCACACTATACGAGTCTGGAGGTCCGACGCAGCCGAAGACAAAAAGTGCCGCAAAAGAGTTCTAGAAAGGTTGTCAAAGTGTGTAACTGCCAAATGTCCTTGGACAATGAAGGCTGCCCACTAAACGTAAAACATTACAGATAACTGGGGATAGATGCATTTTACGTCAAAGTCCGCGAGTTCGATCCTCTAGGCGCTTATTTCTAGGCTGACCACTTTTGAAAATTCTAGAGGTAAGTTTATTCCACGGCCCATGACGATGGATAACTTATTTTTCTATGGGATACATTGGGCAGTGTATAAACCATCATTTCAGACTTGCGTATTACATAAACGACCTTGAGCAGTAACCTTTACGATATTGTTATTTAGCCCACAGGGGCAAAGTCATGTGCTCACACCTTTACTCGTGAAAATAATGTCTCTTTCGCAGTTGTCCGGTCTTCGTCCTCCTTCGGGCTCAAAACGGGACGAAATAAGCAAAGAGGCTATTAAGAAAATACACGAGGAGATATTCGGTACGCAAAGTTCTGCATTTATTTTTGCATAGGAAGTGACCTTAGTTTTGACACGGAATCAACTGATGCTGTTCCCACACCTCGCACTCGCAGTCCACGAATATCCTTTCCAGCACCACTTTTCCCCATTAAAAAATGTTCGAAAACTTCAGTGTCTCTGAAAAGACCATCGCCAAACAGTGGCTTCGGGTTTATTCTTCGAAAGGATAAATTTGACCACACGGTAAGTTGGTGTGGATCCTATCTAAGCAGACCTTGATCAGTTTTTTGGTGACTGAAATTTTATGCAGCAATGAACACTGAATTTTGATAGGTTGACTAAGCTGTGTAAGTTAAGGAGAATACGGTCGTATAAGACGTACTGTACTGTAGATCTACAGTACAGTACAGTACATCATGTACTGTAGTACATATATTGTATTTAAATAAGCATACACAGTATATATATATATATATATATATATATATTAACTGTGTATATTCGCTTATCTAAATGGTTGCGGTTTTCCTCCTCTTTGTGTCACGGAAACATGTAGACGTCTTTTACTCGCAGTACCAAAGACTCCTGAGCATTTTGTTCTACCAGTGTCTGGAAACAAAGTATAGAAACCAAGCCCCGTACTCGCAATAACAGTACAGTGTCCTGCTACTCGCTGAGTTACATTGTTTCATTGGATTCAGTTTGTCCAAAGTCTCTTTCCTTAACTGCTTTCGTCGGTTAATCCTTTTGTGAACTATTTTTCTAAGTGAACGAACGGAACGTCTTGGTCCTGTTATTCGATGATTTTTCTCTCAGGTATTTTAAAATATATCTTTCTTCTACCTCTCATCAAAGAGTGCATGTCCTTTGTCCTATTGCTAAGCAATAATTTGGCTCGTTATTATGATGAGCGTACGCAAGGGTAATTTCTAATACGACGTTTTGCATGCAGTGGTCCAAAGGATTGAATATTTCGTCACCACACAAATGATAGAGCGACTTCTCGAAAATTCCGTCAAAGAATCTAACTTTAACTAAACCGAAATTTTACACTGGTCACCGTTTATGAGTCAGATTCTGTACGGCTGTGTTATTTTAATGATCTCACTCCGCAGTTTTTTCCTTAATATCAGAAAATTTATGCCGAACCTGGGTCTACTGGATTTTCTTCTGGCCTGATTCCTGGTGATGTCCTTCTCTCTGTCCTTGGTTCGAATGCCAAAGAACATTCCCTGGAACAGCTAGTATCGCTTATCAATTCTTCGACCGCTGAATATCTTAATTTGGATGTTGAGCCGTCTAATGAAACATTGGAGTTCTCTTCACGCTGCATTCCCATCTCTCCAGACTTATCATTTATCACAGAACAGCTGGACCAGATTGTGGATCCCCACTTGCGAACTGAACTAGAAAGTATTGTTGTCCATGTAGGCGGCGCGGCATCCAATTGTATTAATGTGAGAAACTGGATCAAAACCAGAGGAACATTTGACATGTTATCAACGATGCTCTCAAAGGCAAGTCTCCATGGTTCGCTTATACTATCTTGTTGATATCACTATTTGTGATAAGTATCCATTTTAAGAATTTTGTCAAATATTTCATGTGGGATTTGGAATGACTCTTCTGCTTCTCATGAGTGATATGTCATCGATTTACTGTTATGGTTCTACCATTTGGTGTTTTCCAAAAATTACGGAATACCAGTACGTCCCTTTACTGGGCATGTAGCCATCCTAACCATCTGCGTAACTCCGATTATGTCTGTGGAGTGCACGAATAAATATTGTATTTACTAAAGTTGACCCACGTCTACTTGCCAAGCCACTTTCATCGGAAAGAACTGGTTTTAGGTCGCCGCAATTGTGTATTGTTGCTAATGTAGAACCAGTCGGCTATCACTTTAGCATATTTCTATCTTTTCCCCTTGTGGGCATTGGATTCCGAAAATCTAAAACATTTGGTTTTGCGTTTTAGAGATCCTTTAATTTCCTATTAACTTCAGGTAAAAGTAGCATGCATACGGAACGTTCTTTATTCTTTTTACTATGTCGTCCTTGAAAATCATATATGTATGTTTTTACTCCAAGCACTTACGTACAGCCGGTGTAAGGGCTCTGTTATTACTTATGACTGATTATAGTTTATTACGAAATTTCGGCTCCAGCAGACGCAATGTTTGCCTTGACGCAAAACCGTTTTTGACCAGGTATATTTTGAAATATCTGACATTTCGTTCATCCTC